GAACCTGTTGTCTGCTTGAAAAGCCAAGGGGTTGTAACCAACATAATTTGTAAAAGTGTAAATTTCTACTGTAATCTGCACTTTTTGCAAAATGAAAAAGAGGGCACACGGCACACATAAAGCTATTCAGCATGCTAAAGTTCTTTAGAGGGTGCCTTTAATATATTGAAAGACCATCTGGAATATCAAGCATAAATATTTAGTAAATACACCCTACAAAGTATCCAGACAAATGTGTTCTAACTGGATCTGTTACAGTTTGAAGATTACTATTTTTCAAAGTTGTGCTTAATCTGAGGAATTCTATATTAATGATTCCAATATAACATACCAAAGATAAACAACTATGGGCCTGTTTACAGCCTCGTCACTACTTTTTAGCAACCAGCAACTACTGATCACTGGGCCTGTCACTACTGTTAGCAAATAGCAACTTTTACCTGACTGCAACATTTCCTAATTAATGGCAGGGAGTTATCAGCTACCACTACTTAAAGCCTTTCACTAAGTAGAGGGTACTAACTACCAATTTTGTTTTTTACTAGTGACTTCATTATAAACCCTGTCACTACTCACTACTGACGCCTGATAACCCAAATAACTCAACACCAGCTTATGGCCTAGTGTAAAGAGGTTAACAACTATCTCTATGAAACCTATTGTAAAGTTTTACTGGCCAGCCGCTACTTCCCTTTTGCTATTGGCCACATGGAGGTGTGTTTTTTTTTTTGTGATTTATTGGCCAGCCACTAATATATAATTCGTCTGTATTTATAGCAGCAGCCATTATTAGCGATAGGCACAAAACTATAGAAGCAAGCCTGTAAACCTGATGGTAGTTTGCAGCCATTACAAGCTACCAGCTGTTAAAAGCAACAGATTATGACAGCTGTTTAACAAAATGGTTGTAAATGATCACTATAAATGATGTAAAGAATATTGCTGCTTTACATCAATAGAGGAGCTTATGGTATAATAATATTTTATACTGAGATCAGGTTATTAAGAACCAGGATTTTGATAATTAGGCAGTTAAGAGCTTCTTTTGTGATCAAAATCTATTTATTAAAGCAGTTTACATAAAAAACTAAAAAAACTATATTATGGTAAGAATCAATTTCATCCAGTCTAATGGTGGAACTTGGTGTCGTATGAAATGTTGGATGTGTGAATCACTATCAAATCACTATCAAAACAGTGCTGTCAATATGCGGAATTTCACCAGTAATTTCATCATACAAACCCCCGTAGCTAATACAAGATGCACAATTTGTTTTGTTGCTGCTTCAGTAGTCACGTAAAGGTAACTGGAAAGCAGCTACAAACTTCATAGCCTATCATAGAGTAGTTTTTCTTTTTCACATAATTGCATATATTTTGTAAAAGATAAAACTGAAAACAAAAAAACAGCTTCACCTACTGTTGTGGTTTAAATTCAGCGGACAGCAATGTTTTCTCTCAGGTATGAAGACAAGGAATGGACACAGCAGAAATACAAGCTTGGAGGGTCCACACAAGTGTAAGGGGGAAAGGTGCTCATTAATCCAAATCACTCACTCTTCAATTTTCAAGAGATAGTGGTGATATTAAAACCCTAAACGGAAATGATTGTGCAGTCCATTCTTAAAAGCATGCATGGCACTTTTTTCACTGGGGGCCTTCCATCCATCAAAATGTTGGCATGAATGATACCTATATAGACTACAATTTTTTTTTTTTTTAAAGTGCTTGTGCAAGGGAGCGGGAATCTACAATATTGGTGTACAACTGTATAAATTTTATTAACTAACCATAACTCAGTATTGAAATGTTTAGTAAATATACACTTCAAAGTATCCAGACAAATGCGTTCTGAGTGGATTAATTTGTTTAGTTGGTTGCATTTGGAACTGGATTGAGGCAGTGACTGTAACTTATCTCCATCACAGTTTGTGTACATAACAAGTTCTTCTTTAGCCAAAGTTGTCATAAAACAGATTTGTTGATATGTATATACTGTTCTTCTTCGTAGTAAAAGTCCAGTACATTTTGCATTCTGTTAAAGAGTTCATTTCATTTACGCACTGTATGTACCGTATATGTAAATACTGGATACCTCAAATTCAAATGTGTCAAACAATGTTCAGAAGCAACTAGTGTAGGTTCATGAATGCTGATGTCATGCGCACACACCAGGCATCTCAAAAACATGCTGTGAATGAATTATAACTGTTCAAACTGCTTGTGGTTTCTAGTCAGATAAGCAGTGCTTCTGAACATTGAGAACTTTAAAATATCTGCCCTTTTGAGAAGGGTAAGCCAGAAATGCACTGAAAAGAGATATTAACTAATATATGTGAATTACAAAAGAATAAAAAGGCTCAATATTACATGCAATCTTGTATTGTAAATAATAAACAATAGACAGTTTTCCTCAGGGCCAGATTAAGAGCCCAGTGGTCCTGGTGCTGACAATTACATGATTTTGCTATTTCATGACGAAAAGTCATGATTTTATGAAAGACACGGAGGCGAGTATTGCTTAACCCTTTCTTTACTGTCCACCAATAGCAGCAAAGAATACAAACAGTATGAAAAAATGGTAACCATAGTGATAGACCACTCCCATACCAAGTCCCAGTATAATAGTCAGCACCTCCCCACACAATTCCTCTTTCTTTGGAGATGCGACACCAAACCAGCAAACAGGAACCGATGAACAGTCCAGAACTCAGCAGACCAAACCATCCCGAAATCCAGCCAGATACTAATCAGGAACCATCTGTGAACTGGGACTAAACCAGCAACAAATGACTGTCAACAACCAGGAGTCCGTCACAGCACCATCCATAGATCTCCAGTCAATGTGGTGAAGTCTTGAGAAGAAGTGAGGATCTTTATACAGCACCAACAGCGCAGAATCAACCTGTGAAAACATAAACAGGAGCCCAACTGTTAAATCGGTACTAAAACCAATTGCTCATGCCAAACCATAATATATTGATATACTGAAACCACATAGTGCCCCGAATGTCAGACAAGAGAACCACCACCAAGTCAACATAACATTAACAGTACGGATGCACATAAAAAGGCAATACTATGTTGAACTCAGTGCAATACTTACCAACCTGAGCTATAACACAACAGGGGGGAAAACACAATGATAGAAAAATAAAAGGGTGGGACAATACTCGCCTCCGTGCCTTTCATAAAATCATGACTTTTCGTCCTGAAATAGCAAAATCATGTAATTTTATGTCAGACACGGAGGCTCATATTGCAAGTTTAAAGCTGATGAATAACCGAAGAGAAAACATGTGTTGAAGGCCGAAAGTAAAATTCTCTGAAGGTGGATTCGCAGGACCAGTCCGCCATCCTCATCAGGTCTTCCAGGCGTGCTCCCGAAGACACCATAGACGTGGCTAATGCCCTTCTTGAGGAGTGAGCGCTAAAGATGGATGTATCCACACCGGCCTGTGACATCACCCATTTCACCCAACGAGCCAAGGTAGTGCTGGACACCGGGGCGAAGGGCTGATGAATTGAGAGAACGAGCTGAGGGGACGCGGCCGAATGAAACAGGTCACAGGACATAGTGCCGGTGTAGTTGGAAAACTCGGATATGAGACCGAACGTATAGCCGTCTTAGTGCGTCTGGAGATGTTAAATGTCACTCCATCCGGAGTGAAGGCCTAGCATCGTAGTCCAGGACTCGTACATCCGAGACCCGTCTGCACGAAATGAGGCAGAACAGGGAAACCAATTTGTCTGACAGTTGTCGCAGGGTGAGGTCCGCATTAGGAGGCCAGAAAGTAAACAGTGACAAGACGCAGGAAACGTCCCATGTAGCCGAATATCGAGGTCTGGGGGGATGCGACAGACGTGAACCCCGAAATAAGCGGCACACCAAGGGGTGTTGGCCCGCAGGACAGCCGTCGAAACCCTGGTGAGCTGAAGAGATGGCTGATCTATACAGGTTACAGGCAATACGCCCGACCAGCCTCGAATAATGAAGTGAGGAATTGGAGTATCGCTGTCACAGGTGCAGAAACAGAATCCAAGTCCTGAGCCGCTCTCCAAGCGGTCCCATATGATCGTCTAGTGCCGGGAGCCAATGCGTCAGCCAGGAGGCGTCGAGTTGCATCTAAAACTCCTTGGATATCCCAGGGACCCCGGAAATCCTCCATGCGAGTAGCAGCAACAACCCGTACAGTAGGAGGGGGTGTCATTTGCCCAATGGGTCCAGCAGAAGATCCTGGCAGGATGGCAGAAGTCTGGGTACATTTATCTCCAGTTCCAAGAGCTGTGGGAACCACCTTTCCATTTCTTTCTACGCTGTGTGAACCACGACTGGGTCCCCCAGAATGGGTTCAGTAGGACCAAGTCGGCCATCTGGCGTCGTACTTGGAGTAGAACCCGAGGAATCATGGCAAATGGAGGGAAGGCGTAAAAGGGTGTGCCGGTCCAGTCTTGTAGGAAGGCGTCCACTGCCTCCGCGGCTGGGTCTGTGCGCCAGCTGTGGAACCGAGGTAGTTGGGCGTTGAGCCGGGAGGCGAAGAGGTCGATGGCAAAAGGTCCCCAGAGATGAGCTAGTGGAGAACACTTCTACATCCAATTTCCAATCGCTGCTATCTGACAGCGTGAGCTCCAATTCGCATGGGTGTTGTGGAGACCGACGAGCCAAGGTAGTGCTGGACACTGGGACGAAGGGCTGACGAATCGAGAGAACGAGCTGAGGGGACGCGGCCGAATGAAACAGGTCACAGGACATAGCGCCGGTGTAGTTGGAAAACTCGGATATGAGACCGAACGTATAGCCGTCTTAGTGCGTCTGGAGATGTTAAATGTCACTCCATCCGGAGTGAAGGCCTAGCATCGTAGTCCAGGACTCGTACATCCGAGACCCGTCTGCACGAAATGAGGCAGAACAGGGAAACCAATTTGTCTGACAGTTGTCGCAGGGTGAGGTCCGCATTAGGAGGCCAGAAAGTAAACAGTGACAAGACGCAGGAAACGTCCCATGTAGCCGAATATCGAGGTCTGGGGGGATGCGACAGACGTGAACCCCGAAATAAGCGGCACACCAAGGGGTGTTGGCCCGCAGGACAGCCGTCGAAACCCTGGTGAGCTGAAGAGATGGCTGATCTATACAGGTTACAGGCAATACGCCCGACCAGCCTCGAATAATGAAGTGAGGAATTGGAGTATCGCTGTCACAGGTGCAGAAACAGAATCCAAGTCCTGAGCCGCTCTCCAAGCAGCAACAACCCGTACAGTAGGAGGGGGTGTCATTTGCCCAATGGGTCCAGCAGAAGATCCTGGCAGGATGGCAGAAGTCTGGGTACATTTATCGCCAGTTCCAAGAGCTGTGGGAACCACCTTTCCACTTCTTTCTACGCTGTATGAACCACGACTGGGTCCCCCAGAATGGGTTCAGTAGGACCAAGTCGGCCATCTGGCGTCGTACTTGGAGTAGAACCCGAGGAATCATGGCAAATGGAGGAAAGGCGTAAAAGGGTGTGCCGTCCAGTCTTGTAGGAAGGCGTCCACTGCCTCCTCGGCTGGGTCTGTGCGCCAGCTGTGGAACCGAGGTAGTTGGGCGTTGAGCCGGGAGGCGAAGAGGTCGATGGCAAAAGGTCCCCAGAGATGAGCTAGTGGAGAACACATTCCGCCTGGATGAGCAGATTCCAGGCCAAACAATAGGCCCAGAAGTTGTTCGCCAAGCAGGCCAGAATAGCCAAATGTGTGCCGCCCATGTGATTGACATAGCGAACTGCTGAGATGTTGTCCATGCGCAGTCGGATGCATGCACTGGTGGTCCCGTTCGCAAAGCTCCGAATCGCAAAGGAGCCAGCCAGGAGCTCCAGGGCATTGATGTGGAGGTGGGATTCGGTCTCCGACCAGTGTCTCCCGTAGTCACACCGTTGCAGTGGGCACCCCAACCGTGGAGATTTGCATCTGAATCCAATGTGAATTCCGGTTGGGAAACAAAGATGGCTTTGCCATTCCAAGCGGATAGGTTGTGGATGCACCAGGTCAGCTCGTCTCGGGTTTCCGAATCCAGGGAAACCACGTCTGCATATGATGCCCCGTTGCAAAGATGTGCGATCTTCAGACGCTGGAGGGCATGATAATGGAGAGGGGCAGGAAACTCGGCCTGGATTGAGGAGGCCAGTAGGCCGATGATCCGTGTCAGATGACACAGCGACAGCTGCATAGTTCTTTGCGGATGGAGCGTATTTTGGCCAGAGGGAGGCTGAGAGATTCCGCTTCTGAGTCTACTGGGAACCCAAGGAACTCCATGCGTCAGGAAGGGGTCAGGCAGGATTTTTCCCAATTGAGGATAGGAGATCCATCGTCCCCTGTGGGTGTTTCAGGAGGACCGAGCGGTCGGGTGCCATGAGGAGGATGTCGTCCAAATAGACTATCAGTCTTACTCCTCGACTGCGCAACCAAGCCATGGCAGAGCGCATCAATTTGGTGAAGCACCACGGAGCTGACGAGAGGCCAAAAGGGAGGCATGTGAAGCGCCAAGTGTCGCATTTCCAGAGGAAGCGTAGTAAGTCCCTGTATGCCTCAGTCACTGGGACCATCAAGTATGCGTCTGTGAGGTCTAATTTTGCCATCCAGTCTCCCCGAAGGAGTAAGTCCAGCAGGAGTTGAATGCCCTCCATCTTGAAGTGGCGGTAGCGCACTAGAGTGTTCAGGGCCCGGAGGTTGATAACTGGGCGCACCTTTCTTTTCTACAAGGAAGATGTTGCTGAGAACCCCTGTGGGGGACATTGACATGACCTCGGGTGATGGAGAGCATCTGGGTCAAACATAGGTTCCCCAGACGGATTCATGAGGGCGGACCCCACAGTAGCGTGGGAGTCGCTGCGCAAGCCACTCATTACCAGCCCTGATAGAGCAGGGGGAAAGGGGTAAGTGTCTTGCCCGCCAATGTCGTCATTGGAGTCACATACGGACTCAGCATCAGCCTCCTCACAAGACCCGATTTCTGAGTCGGAGTCACTCTCTTTTGTGCTCTAGCACATTTCCACTGCCGCACCCGTTCTGCCTGGCGCGGAAAGGCTCTCTTGCGTGACATAGGCACGCGGTCATGGGTGGATATAGTCACACCAGTCATATTGTTTCTGGAGGCAGGGGGACTTAAGTGCCTGGATTTGGCCGTAGCCTTTCTTGGAACATCCCCTATAGGGCTTAAAGCAGAACGCGGTAAGCACGTCGGCGTGGCCGAGCCTTCTGCAGCCAAAGGGCATGCCAGTAAGGCCTGTGAAATAGTCTGGGAAAGAGCCAAGGACATGGAGCCCATGGCAGCCATAATGGCATCTGTAATGGAGTGCTGTAGAGCTAGATTGGGATTGGGCATAGGGTAACCTGCGGAGGAAGGGGGGCCAGAGCTGGCAGAGGGGTTAACCAAAGCATGGGGTATATCCATTTCCCCTGGGGAAAGGGGGGGTGGCATGCACTTTGGACTTGGGCATAATAAAATTGCTGTGAGATATCCCTTTGACACCAAATATAAAATAGTAATATATGCTGCAGAGAGTTGAAAGCGAAAACGAAAATGACAGGAAGAGAACAAGCTAGCAGGAGTTAATCACCCCAGATTAGCTATATCTAATTAGAGGGTAGAGATAGGGAGCTCACCAGGGCCGAGACCATCAGAGAGGAAGAAGGAGCAATGGAGTCACAGACAGCCTGAGAAAGATAAGGCAAACAGAGAAAAAAAGATAAGAGCAACAGGAGAAGCTCAAGTGATAGGGATACTGATAATAATACCCTAAAGAGGTCTGGAACCCTGGGCTTAACACAAAATAAAATCCACAATAGGATAAAACATGGAAACATTAAATATATGGAAAATAAATAAGTAAATAATGAAACTACAAGCAAAAAGGCAAATAAATGGTACAGGTAGCAACAGAGCAATAATGAGAGTAACATCAATAATGCAAATAAATAGTATACATAATAATAAGGCAATGATAATATGGAAGAAATTAGTCATGTACTTATCTGTTTGGTAGCAGCAAAGAAAGAGGAATTGTGTGGGGAGGTGCTGACTATTATACTGGGACTTGGTATGGGAGTGGTCTATCACTATGGTTACCATTTTTTCATACTGTTTGTATTCTTTGCTGCTATTGGTGCACAGTAAAGAAAGGGTTGAGCAATATGAGCCTCCGTGTCTTGACATAAAATTATGAGGGGCCTACGTAAAGAATCTTATCGACCAAAAACAGTCAAACCTCTTAAGCGTTATGTATCTGGTGGAGATGTTGCCAGATGGAAACTTATAGGATGCAGCTAGAAGAAAACCCAAATTCTCTTAAAATATGCTAATCTCTCTCTAATTCATGCTTTCATCTTTCAAGTAAATCCATACCCCCTAACAGCAGTGTCCAGTGAAGGAGGAAGTCAATGGGCAGTGTAAAAGAATGGGCCACTGACGCGGATCTTGGAACCAGAACTCCCAAAAAGGACGAACATGCCCAAAAAGGAGGCATATCTGCCCAAAGAACTGGAAGGCTTGCCTGGCATGAATGCATGTTAGGCTGCCTGCCAATCATGCATGCTGGCCAACAGCATCCTGAGCTTTGCATAAATGCGTCTAATGATGCGCTCGCTCCATGCTTTCTAAGGACTGTCCCCTAGCAGTCACATGCCCACTTGACTCCTTACCTCCTTACTAGCAGGCAGAAGCTCCTGGTATACAGCCTGAGACAGAGAAAAGGTGGATGTAGTGAGTGTAGAAGAAAGGGAATATGCCAGTGTTAGAGAGACCAAAGTCAGCATTACCTAATTTTAATTTCAGCTAGTCCACACAAGTTTTGTTCCCATAAATCCCTCTTAAGTTTCCATACTTAAGCAAGAGTATGTTAAGAGTAGTTAGGGTTGCCACCTTTCTTTGAAAAAAATACAGGCCTTACTAATATGCATAACTATGTATATGTGATATCCAATTATGTAAATCACAAGGAGTGACATAAGAGAAAATTCTGTAAAATCACCCAAAAACTACTTAAAGTTTGATTCTGCTGTATAGATGGATTGCTCCCAGTGTCCCCATGTCACCCAGTGTCCCCATGTCTCCTGCGGACACTGGGAAGACATGGGCACACAGACACTAGGTGATACTGAGAGACATGGGAACACTGAGACACTAGGGACACTGGGAGACATGGGCACACTGAAACACTAGGAACACTGGGAGACATGGGGACACAGACACTAGGGACACTGGGAGACATGGGGACACTGGGAGACATGGGCACACTGAGATACTAGGGACACTGGGAGACATGGGCACACTGAGACACTAGGGACACTGAGAGACATGGACACACACACTAGGGGATACTGAGAGACATGGGAACACTGAGACACTAGGGGAAGCTGGGAGACATGGGGACACTTGGGGACACTGGGACACCAGGGACACTGGCTGGGAGACATGGGGACACTGAGACATTTAGGGACATTGTGTCCCTAGTGTCTCAGTGTCCCTATGTGTGTCTGTGTCCCCATGTCTTAGTGTCCCCAAGTGTCCCCATTTGTTTGTGTCCCCATATGTGTCTGTGTCCCCGTGTCTCAAAGTGTCTCAGCGTCCCCATGTCTCCCTGCAGCCTTTACCCCATCCCTCACTTCCCTGAGCTGTCTCTGCAGGCTGGGAGCTGCTCCCCTGCAGATCAGTGAGGAGAGAGATGCAGGTATATGCTGTAACTTCCTATCCCTGCCTGTCTCCACACACAGCGACCCCTACTGGTCGGTGCGGGTATTGCAGAGTAATCTCTGTTTATACTGAGAAAAATGCAATACAAATGCCGGTATTACTGCAATATCTGCACCGGTCAGGCAGCCTCAAATAAATACCGGCCAGGTGGCAACCCTAAGAGTAGTGTGTAAATAGGCCTATTCCATGGGCCTGGGCCAGGGCCTGGAGCTGCAGCTCCATCAGCCCCTATGTTAATCTGGCCCTGGTTTTCCTCTATGATGACATAAATATATATATGTCCTTAATTTAAAACTATTGGGGTTTCTTTATTATTTATGTATGTGTGTGTGTGTGTATATATATATATATATATATAACATTTTGAATTAACAATTTTTCTACTAAGCAGTGTCTCTTCATTTCTTTCACATAAGGGTGTTACTAAGTCTAACAAATATCTGCAACGTAAACTCAAAGCAAAATTTGACGAGCTCTTGCCCAAGATTTGCCCTTTGCCATGGGCTTTGTTAGGCTCTTGAGCCACAAGGAAAATGTGATGCGCCCA